CATACTTGACAGATTAAAATATCTGCTCTATTAAAATAAAATTACTATAAAAATATAGTATAAAAAGTCATATTAGATCTATTTTATTAAAATAACTGAGTTGATCATTCACATTAGTCAATTAAATATATGAAATTTTAAAAACCCTTAAAAATTAATATTGATAATTGATCACTTTAACTATAAGTTTGAATATTGGATTTCGTTATAACAAAATATGTTAATTGTTAAGATAAAATCTAACGAAATCATACTAAAAATTTCAAATATTTTTAGAAAATAATGCATTAAATAAATTCGTAACTAGCAAAAAAAATAATTATAAATTAATGTTAATTAAAATTTTAATATGAACTGGAAAATAAAATTCTATGTTATTTCTTATAAGTTTTTAATTGTATTCTATATATTATATTAAAATAAAATTACTACATCAATTAAATATGAGATAACTATTTAAAAATGGTTTAACTTATTTTATTTTTAAAAAGGAATTTTATTTAAATATTATTTGTAAATAATTCATAAATGTAGTAACAAAAAAATATTTTGAAGTTGAAGCTCTATTCAATTATTTTAGATTATGAATTATTTTACCGAACTCGAAAATATATTATATGTAATAACAATTAATAATAAAGTACAATATTTATAAAAAATCATTATATATTAATAATATCAAATAAGAAACATAAACAATAAAATTATAGAATTGCACAATATGTAACATTAATATATAAATCATTAAGTATATAATCAAAATGCTTACTAATATCAAAATCATATTTTGTAAACTAAAATATACCCACACGGATGTGCGATCGAACTCTAGTTATTCATTACAATATAGGAATTTTATAATTAACCGATTTGGTTTAGTTTCTCTAATCATTTGACAAATTATCTGTACCAAAAGCAGTTATATGGCTTGGTTAAATCATTTCATTATTATTTTTTTATAACACTGAGCAATGAATAAAGTTTGTTGGCAAACAAATGTGTAGGACTAAAACACAAGAAAATGAGATGTCAGTAGACACCATCATAACAACAGAAGAAAAGAGAAGCAGGATTTACCAACACCCTTACTCATTTAGCCTCTGAAACTAGAAGGTGAACTAGTCATGATTGAGCATTCCAAGCGATGTACGACTGATGGCGCCTATCTCGAGTGACGCTGAAAACAATGGCCGTTGCCGCTTCATTACGCTCCGGAAGAGTATGATCGAGACTCCATGACTCTATTCGTGATAGAAGCCATAGAATGTTGTGTCGGATGTGGCTGAGACTAAGGTGTGCAGTTGGATTTGTCATAGCGTCATGTAAGCACTCCGATGAAGTCTCGAAAATAATGTTCGAGAAGTGTAGATTGTGCAAATCATTTCATTATAGAACCAGTTTTTAATTACCATAACATACATTCAAATATTGATAAATGAAAGGTCAAAATTAGTTTTATGTAGCACTATTAATATTATACTTTGATTATTATGTTTTGTTCATAATGACAGGTTAGATAATGAGCTAATGGAAAATGATAGAAGATGAGTTAATGGAAAATGTAAAGAGACCTAATACATTATAATATGATTCTAGGTATGCTATATTGTATTGTGTATGTCATATTTTGATAGATATTTTTGTAAGTCAAAATTGAATGTCAGTTGGTAAATTTATGTTATGTTTAGTGATTACCGAAATAACTCGCAAGCAAATTGTATCAACATAATAGAATTTTTGAATCATATAGCTAATATCTAATATATTATTAATAAAAATGTTCATAGATTCAAAAGTTAAATAACAATTTTTTATCAGTAAAAAATATCTCTCTAAATATGACATACACAATACAATATAGTATACTTAAAACCATATTATAATGTATAATAGATTACAAAATTACGATATGACTTCGAATTCACACAAAAAAAAAATTAATTTCAGTAGAAATCTGAACTCTAAATCCCCCCCCCCACACACACTTTATGCAAAGAATGTCAAAAGATTTCGATAAAAGGAAAACCATTAAACAAAAATGTCAGACCGCTACACTTTTCCATGAATTATAAAGAAATCTCGGGAGTGGTTAATTAGAAATAAGATTGCTAGTTTATATTTGAATTCTGAAGTTTTCTAATCAGATAATATATTTTATTCAAAGATGAAAATTTTGAAAGTAATCATAGCTTAATATATACTCAAAAGTCAAAAGATGCTTCCATACTAATTTTTTATATGCCAAAAGTCATATTTTTGCTATTTAAAGTGTACCATGGAGATGGAGTCACAGTAAGCGAATTATTTCCTTATTCTCTACCAGTTTATTACAAATCTCCATTCTTCATATTAATAAGATTAGTTTTATACATTTAAAAAAGAGCTTAGAATAGCAATATAACATCCTAATTTATGGTATATTTGGAAAAGAAAAAGAGAATTGATTTGGTTATCTATATCGTCAAAGTGAATTTATCTTTTCGGTCACATATTTATTTATAATTTCAGAATTAAGCATGTTTAAATTGGAATAGTGGAAAAATAAGTGATTTATCGGAAAATGATTCATAAAATCGTACAAATGATATCAAAACAAAGAAAAATATCATGTGATGATTACAGGGGTTAATAGACAAAAAATTGAACCTACGAAAAATTAAAGCATGGCCCATCGCATGGAATAGGATTCACACAAATCGAGAGAGCGAGTGTGGAAATTCCATTAGCCGTGGGTATTGGAGTCGGTTGGACATGATTAAAGCTAATTAGCCATCTCGGTTGGGGTATTGGAGTCGGTTCTTCATTTCAAAACTGATGTTTTGTCAGCGTGGGACGTCTTGTGAATGGTTTCTTTGATGTAACTAACGATGGATCTTGGGATGCCTTTGGACATGATTCGTAATATCGTTCGAATGAGATCAAAGCACGTGGAACAATCATGTGATTGCAGGGTTAGCATATAAGATTTGGAATCTACAAAAAATTAAAGCATCGGTCTTCACACGGAATTAGATCCACGGATTAAGAGAGCAAGTATAGAAACTCTATTAGCCGTGGTTGATCAACGCGTTATAGATTGTAATAGAGGTGATTAGCCATCTCGATCAGAGTATTGGAATTGGTTCTTCATTTCGAAATGGACGTTTTGTCACTGTGGGATGTCATGTCTAGTGAATGTCTTCTTACGTAAATAACGCAGAATCTTGTGATGGCTTTGGGCACTCCAACCCCTAGAAATTCCGGAAATCAGATTTGATAGCTATTGTTGTTTATCGGAGGAGAAAGCTAGTCTTCTTTCCCAGGATCCTCTCTTTTTCTGCTCATGTCTGTCTTGCTGTAGATTTAGTCAAATTTTTTGAAGCCTAGTAAATGTTGTTTTACCTGACATTGTTCTGACTCCGTTTAGGTTGATTTTAATGATTACTTTGTTACTTATAAATATGTTTTCATTACCGAACAGTATAAACAAGTTTGGATAAACTTGCCACATCAGTTGTGCATTGATAATCAGTGATCACTCTTCATATATATGTATAAACATTTTCCTACACATTATATAAGGAATGTCACTCTTTCCATTTTTGCAGTAATTTTATCTTAGTAGTTATATTTTTATCTGTTGAAGACGCGCACAATCTACAGACAAAAGGGACCAATATGCGCTGGCTTTGGACCCATACATCACTAAGAAAAGATGCACACATGACAAAATCACATTTTTTGCTCTTTTACATTCAATGAAGTATATTTACACTGAATATTATTTTCATAAAAACAATTAGAAGAAGAGAAGAGTTCACTCAAACACTATTTTGGTCTACGCTTTGCATTGATATATATCATACTCTACGAATTTCTATAAATCATGATATGTTCAATGACTCTAGAGTCAGAAGAAATTGTGTCATATGGTTTTCATGAAGTCAATGGATTAATCGAAGGATATATATGCAGTTAGATTGATATATGAAGGGTTTTAATGCTTAGAAATACTTCATGCAGACAACTTTTTGTAATTCATACCTTTTTTTCTTTTGGTATTTAAATTCTTATTTTCGATTTAAAGTTTTTTCAAGAATACATATAAAAATATCGCCTTTCATAATAGATATATCGCTCCATGTAAACTAATTGAAAATGATCTAAAAGGTCTGCAATATTTTAGTGCGAAATTAGTTTATCTTTTCAACGGATTTCAATTATGTTTTTGGTTCCTAAACTTCTTCAAAACATAAACGAATTACTTAAAAGAACAACAACCATGGGGATTTACGTATGTATGATATGCCTACTTTATATAAAGAAATTAAGATCTAATTTTACACCACAAAAGAAATTAAAATACAATTTGGTAAAATCAAGGAACAAGTGAAATGAAAATGGGTTTTGGTGCCTAAATGAAAGTCATAACCAACGACAGGACGACAGTAACTGAACACTTCTGTTTCGTTTCGTACAGCTCTAAAAGCTGTAAGAACCGAGCACCTGTCTCACCTTTTTCTATGTGGTCACCACTTAATTTTCACCAATTATTTCATTTTGAAACAACTGTTGTTTCTTTTTTATTAAAAAAAAAAACTTAATCGTTTTACTAAATCTTTAAACTGTCTCGACTAATACAGCTAAATATGTTCACACTCATGTAATCGTCGTCATTTTCCAGCAAGCACTCCCTCTCGTTAATTATATGAATCATATTTTTTTTTTAATTTGTATAATGTAGTTGGGAAAACAGAGGCTCTACCTAACGGTGTCATTTAGTCATAGTGGGGAAGTCAAAACACCATTTTCGAAGAAGAAACAGGATAAAGTAACGGATAAGTTTTAAATCTTTACATGAGAAATCTTATGGATTTTGACCAGAAGACTTTAACACAAGTTTTTTTTTGAACAAAGAGACTTTAACACAAGTTTCTGGACATGTTATCCACGTAAAAATACATAGAGTGGAACACTATTACTTTTTTTTTTTTATGAACACTTATATTTTTGTTTTTAATGTGAATTGAGGTATGTGAACCCATTTGTTATATACTTGAACACTAATGTAAAAGTACAAGAAGCAAAATCGAAGTGGGAAATGGAATAGAAAATCAAACAAGCCAAACAAATAAAGCAAAAAAAAAAAGAAGAAGAAGACTAGGGAATACAAAATGTAAGATTGGTCGAGTCAAACTATAAGCAAAAGCCTAATGCTTTTGTGCCTAACGAAAAAAAAACAGACCAAAAACAAAAACTAATCCCAAACACTATCCATTTCCTTCTTTCGTAATTATGACTTTTTATCATACAAAGGATGATAAGCATCATCATGACTAGTCTCATACATTAGACCTATGAGTGAGAAGAGGTTGTCTCTCAAAGAGACCAAGCCTATAATCACCAAGCTTAGACTTGTACGCAGATGATTTGTATTGAGACCAAGTGAATTCCTTGTAAAGCCAATCCTCTTGCTTAGGGACAAGACTTGGCAATGGACTGATCTTCTGGCTCAGTGGGGGTCCTCCAAAATATATCATCGAGACTCTTGATCTCCTTGTATCAGCTAAGACTCTGTGTTTTACACTCTTGAACCTCCCGTTTGTCATTACCTGCAATCACCATGTATTTTAGTCAGACTTTGAAAATGTATAGGAGTCAAAACTAGGATAATGTTATTTTGTTAATTTTTGAAATGACACTTATAAGAGAATATATTGCTTGCATACATGCCCATCAATGTAAAAGTAATTGTCACGTGAGGCTCAGTCTAAAACATAGATTCTGTAAACGTACACCTAAGAAAAGGAACTAGATTTTCTTATATTTTATTCTCTATAAATAAAAAGAAATAACATGTGAGAATTTTTGTCTTCCCTTCTTTCCCACCGATCTCAATCAATCCCTTATATACCAATTTAGGTAAAATACACTAACAAATTAATAAAAACATTTCTCTTAAGATAAAAGTGATATACTTATATGAACTACTAAAACTGATATAAAATTTAACATTTTACAAAAAAAAAAAAAAACTAAAATACTTATGAGTTTTGACCAGAACACAACCATCAAATCTTAAAAAAATCCATAGTAATTTTCTTTTTATATATATAAAATCAGAAAGAAAGAAAGATAGTAAAAAAAAAGTACCTGAAGAGCATCTCCAACAATAATGAAGAAAGAAGAGTGATCAGGAGGGACAGCGACCCAACTTCCATCTTTCATACAGATTTGAAGACCCGCTGTGTTATTGGACCTTAGCACTGAGATGATCTGTGGGTCTGTGTGCTCCCCAAACCCTACCTTCACCATCTTCTCCGCCTCTTCCTCCGCCGTTGGATAATGGTTAAGTCTCAGGCACGAGTCACTCTTCTCATCTCTCACCATCTTACTCAGACTGTCCCTTGGCTCTACCCCTAATCCTTCCGCCACCATCTCCAACACTTTGCAAGATACTTCCTTCACTTCTTCCATGTATTCCTCCACTGCCTCACTGTTTTGTTTTTTTACACTCACAATAGTCAGACTCGTAGGTATTAAAAGATGAAAACAGAGTGCTCTGTTTCTACTCATAAAGGAGAGTATGTGACTAATATTCTTTTTTTTTGAACAAATGTGACTAATATTCATACAGTTTTCTAATATAATTTATGGGTTACAAATGTAATATGCAATGGAATGTCTTTAAGCAAGAAAGTTTGTTCCTTTTCTCATTACTTCTCAAGAGACAAGAGAATAAAACAGAGGAATGTGAAAAAACAATGTAAAACAGAGTCCTCTGTTTCTACTTGAAGTGGATAACAAATAGAAAACTTATCCACTTAGTAAAATTGCATTGAATAACGGTAATTGAGTCTTGAAAATCTTTTCAGTGGTCCAATGATTGTCACTTTCTCACTTGTTTCTAGAAACATTGAATATCGCTGAAAATCTAAAAAGGCGAAAACAAAAAGGCTACTCCTCTGTTTCTTTGTATAAAGAAAAAAAAAGTAATGTAATGTCTTTGCAAAAAAAATATCTGTCCTTTGATTAATTGTGTAAAGAAGATGAAGTTTACCGGAAAATTAGTGGCCTTTGGCTGAAAACGGCGGAGGTTTTGGCTGAGGAGAGCTGAGGGTTAGCATTGAGGAGGATATACTCAATCCACCCCACGTCACCGTTTGGTCCAATCCGTTTACTACCATAACCGTACGGTTCAGGTGGACCGGCTTGGTTTTTGAGAGACTGTGGCAGGGCGAAGAAGCCGACAGCTTCCTGCTCTAACCGGGTCATGAGGTCTGGTCTGACTCCGTGGTTTACAACCTTGAAGAAACCAAAATCCTCACAGGCTTTCACGATAAGGGTTTTGGCTTCAGGGTGGGTTAGGTCCACGACGGGTATTACCGGAACTGGCTTGTATGTCGGGATTACGGATATGTGGTTGTCTAAAGAGACTGGTTGTGATAAAACCACCATGTTTTTGGCTTTATTGTGGTTAGGTTTTGTTGGAGACTGAAGCAGAGGTTGAAGAAAGGAGTTGTGTTGTGTTTTAGGAACTATCGAGGAAGCTATGCATTTATAGGGAGTGGCTTGTGTGGGACGGGAAAAATGCTTTCTATATATTATTTAAATGTTATTAATAGGGCTTTTTTGCTCAATAACCAAAAAAACAAAATATTTATACTATTACGATTTTTATATTTTTATTACTGTGTATTATGTAATTTTGTGTAATTTTTTTTTTTTTGCATGTCGAGTCTATTCTTCTATCTTCGCACACATGGAAATACAGCGTGGATTTTTTTTTTCATTTTTGGGTTTATGAAATTGAAAGTCGATTTTATTATCGAAAATTGTATTGGCATGGTCCTGTTTTATGTTTTTCTCTTCTTCTAGTTACTTTAACTAATCACGCGTATGGATTGTTGACAGATAAAGAAAAGAATCACGGGTCGTTCTTAATTAATTATTGAGTCAAAAAAGTTCAACAGTTGCACGATTTCAGATTATAGTGTAAAGTCATGGCTTATGTAAAGCTGTAGTTTTCTTTTTCATTTTATTTTTTGAAAATGGGCATACCTTTTTACTAGTTATAAATTTTAGAGCGAAACAATGTTTAGTTTTCTTCAGATTGTATATATTACTTTCCATTATTATGTTTTCCACAAGAAAAGAGTGTAACCAGAAGCATTTCCAATTTTTTTTTATTACGTATTGATTAAGAAAAAAACAAAAAAGCAAGGTATTCTATAAATAATTCTTTTTGTATAACTACCTGTTTTATGTTTTCCTGGAGAAATGATGTGCGAAAAATATGTAATGAAAAAAAATTAAAGAATGTGACCTGTAGCATTAACATAAGCAAGAAATTAGAACAAATTACTTTGATATGTGAAGATAAAACCACAGCAAAATCTTCTATAAATAATTTTTGTTTATAAAGTCCTTCCACATTGCAACAAAAATGTTTAGAAATGGAGTAATAAATTAGGGAGTGCTGTAATTTAAAAGATAGAAAGAAAAAAAAAACAATTGCATTTGGCCAACTCTAGTAAAACATTGACACTCTTCATAATTTATTTTACAGGAAACATGCATTACCATAAAATATTAACATTGTACAGTCACAAATTAATACATTACAGATTTGAAAGGTGGGAACTAGGAAGTCGTCGACATTTTTTGGTGGCCAAGTCTTGGCGGCCAAGCTTCTATCAAACGTGCATGTAGTTAGCTCCTTCTTTAAAACATTTTTTGCATTTAAAAAAAATAAAAGTAGCAAAAGTGTTTACACATAAGCCAACTTTAGTAATTACTCCCTCTGTTTTATTATAAGTGTCACTCTACAATTATGCACACAAATTAAGGAAATAATTAATTTTACATATTTCCTATATAAAAACACAGTTACCCATACACCTAACCATATTTTAACCAATAGAAAAACAAATTACATAATAAAATTAATAAATTTTGCATTGAAAATCGAAAACGACACTTATTTTGTAACGCAAAAAATTCTCTACAACGACACTTAATATAAAACGGAGGGAGTAACTTTTGTCTCCTTCATTTAATCTTTGCGTTAATACTATCTAAATGCATGTAAATACTATCTTAATTATAAAAAGTAATAGGTTTGCCGTTTAAGGGACGTAAGTTCAAAGTTTACACATCGAAAATGTAGTGTTACAAAAAAAAAAAAAAAAAAAAAACACATCGAAAATGTTAGTTTCGCATCAGACTATCACAGGGAACTCTTAGCGATCAAACCATGCACTCGAAACAAATCGCATATATACGGTTTCTTTAATGTGACTGCAAACGTTTAGAAGGCCTTTGAAAGTATTATTGCTGCTCTTAAGAATATTGACTTCAGCAAAAAAAGACTATTGACACGACCGAAAAAAACGAATTTAAAAGAAAAGCAGCTACCTTTATTGTTATGTAATGTTGTTTACCTTCATTGCTTAAAACACAAATTCAAGTTGTGAATAACAAAATAGATGTTCCGTGACAAGTTATAGGCATAGTAACTCTAAAAGGTTAGATCATACTTTTGGGTCATAAAGCTAAGGTTTTGAGATTTTGGATAGACATTTGCAAAACCTAGATGAATGAAATAATATATCCTTCTGAGTGTACGTTTTAAAGAACACTGAACACGTCAATAATAATCGGACAAGTAAAAAGAAACTAACAGAGTAACAGTAGAGACCTGTGGATGAAAATGACTGCATATCTAATCTTTACCGTATATATATATATATATATATATATGTTTATCATGATTTAAGGAGCGTCCCCTAGTGAGATCTAAAATCTAGGTTAGTTGTAGGAGTAAGGATGGTGAAGTTGAAGAATAACGCCTACACATCAAAGAGGCCCAAGGTCATCTTCTTTACACGTTCATTTTATTTTATCATAAAACATAAAATGAATAATAGTACATAAATATCAGACCAACTTTTTATGAAGGATACACATCCTTATCTTTACTCTGTTCAGTCCCACGTTCTCGTAGCATCGCAAATAATTGGTGTACCCATCTTTTACAATCATTAGAACATAATTAATTTCTTATGAGGCTCCTTTATATATAAATGGAAAAAGGTCTTCAAGTAGCCTAGCTCTAATATCTTATAATATGATTTAATATTGCAATTTGCAAATAGATTTGAGAGTTTTGAGTGTTACAAAAAAAAAAAGTGTTACAAAAAAAAAAAGATTTGAGAGTTTTGATAATAATGTGATTTTGATATTGCAGTTTGCATGTTCAAACTTACAATAACAGGAAATACAAAACTCATTTCAGAGAAACATGTTAGTAATTACACATCACAAATAATAAGAAATACAACGTTATATAAAAGAAATTTGAGTTATTTTTCTTCTTATTATTCATTTATTTTTAACGGTAAATTTTTATCTCAATAATAATTTATATTTCTTTTATTTGTGAAAATCTAGTATACATTACTAGTATGCATCTAAGTTCTTCTGCTTGATTCTTAAAAAAAAAAAATCCCACTCTTTAATTTGTATAAATGCCATTTTAATTTTTAAACGTAAGTACAACTATAATTTAAACCTTGAGCAAGATTCGAGATCAAAGGAGTTAACAGTAGTCATAATTAATTGAAGGATCATTTTGTTTAGACGATTTCCCCATCAGAGCTTAAATACATTTGAACTTTATATATAGATATTTTTTTGAACAACAGTAAAGATTTTTCTAAATAAAGAAATTTCTGTTCAAAAAAAGATTTTCTAAATAGCTTTGACAATTGTAATTTAGTTGTCAAATGTTCATGATAAAATTATGCTTGAACAATATTATAGCTTGTATGTGACAAAAGAACATAAAAACATATCTTTCTATATCCTGGATTCATAATTCTTTTTACCTACTCTAGAACATAAACAATAAAACCAGTTCTGATGAAAAAAAAAATTAGTCAAAAACAAAACATACGGCCAGCGACATAGATGAAACTAATTTAAAATTTAAATTGACTGGAAGAGATTATCAATTTTAGTCCAACATTTTGTTCAGCAATATTTTTTGTAAAACAAACTAAAAATTAAATATTCACTTCTCATTCTTTCATATTGATACGAACTTTTGATTTTTTTTTATAATGGACATATTTTATTTAAGATAAATAAAAAGACACTGAATGTTTGCAACGAGAAAAGCAATAATAAATCCCATTTGTTTTCGAAGAGAAATAATCATTCAAAAAAGGTCGGCTGTTATGACAAAAAAGAAAGAAAAAAAAGTCGGCTGAATAGCTGAATCGAATCACCATTATGATGTGCATGACCTCTAATCAATAATGTCATTTTTTAGATTTAGCAAATCAGATGATTAGACTGAGAAACTTTCTATTTACTCTTTTTCCAAAAAAAAAAAAAACTTTCTACTACTCTTTTTCACATGTTTTTTTTTTGACAAAAAACTAATCGTTCAACTCTTTTTCACATGTTAAAAGGAAAACTTGTTGTCTTTAAATCTAGTTTCCTTTTGACTTGATAGTCTATCGTCAGAATTTCCAATGATGAAATGGAGAAATAATCTCATTTTGTCACAATGTGTGTGATACATTGTTCAATTCCTTGCCGCCTTTTGCATAGTTTACCGATGTGATATTTGTGTGTGTGGTAATATGCATGTTGAAACATTCCTTCATTCCTTGCATCATTTATTGGAACTTCACTTCATTTTCCGTTTTTATTTCATTTTAAGCAAAACATTTTTATAATGATATTTTTTATGAAACAATGAATAGTATTGTTTTAATTTTGAAGATATACTGTTCACATCTTCATCTTTTGAAGATGAATTTTTAAAATTATAAATTGATATTTTATCTTTTCCCAAAATAAAATTTATATGTTAATATTATCTAATTAATTTCAAATTTTGACTATTATTTATATTTAATTACATGTTTATATTAAAAAACATGATAATATTCATTTAGGGGATTTTTAACTCGATTGAACAACTTTCACTTTCTTTGTTAATCATTTCTAGAAAATATATATGGTTTCCTTTACAAAATATGTCATTATGTGTTATTTCATGTTGAGTAATAAATTTATTATAAGGTAATGTTTAATTAATATTAAATAAGGCTTATTGTTTAAAACAAAGTAGTTGGATAAAATATATGAAAAAATATAATGTGTAAGTGACTAATGATAAAATAGAAGTGAAATACTCCCTCCGTTTTATATTAAGTGTCGTTGTAGAGAATTTTTTGCGTTACAAAATAAGTGTCGTTTTCGGTTTTCAATGCAAAATTTATTAATTTTATTATGTAATTTGTTTTTTTATTGGTTAAAATATGGTTAGGTGTATGGGTAAATGTGTTTTTATATAGGAAATATGTAAAATTAATTGTTTCTTTAATCCGTGTGCATAGCTGTAGAGTGACACTTATATTGAAACAGAGGGAGTATTTTTTTACAAGAAAAAAATGAAGCAAATCTTTGGAATAAATGTTACCTCTTCTTTCTTTCTTTT